GGCGCTTGGGAGCGCGGGGGTGCTCCCACCAAGGGTTCGGATCCCATATAGAGACTGGTCCGCTCACTGGTTGAGCGCGGTGCGGGCGCAACACCGAGGGTTGCGATCCCGTTGCCGGTCGCGGTACGGGTGCGACACCGAGGGTTGTGATCCCGTTGCCGGTCACGAAAAAAGACAAAAAGGGAAAAAAAAGAAAAAAAGTGCAGCTGAGGGCTCGCCTGGTGGCACACTCGGTAGAGTGCGGCGCTTGGGAGCGCGGGGGTGCTCCCACCAAGGGTTCGGATCCCATATAGAGACTGGTCCGCTCACTGGTTGAGCGCGGTGCGGGCGCAACACCGAGGGTTGCGATCCCGTTGCCGGTCGCGGTACGGGTGCGACACCGAGGGTTGTGATCCCGTTACCAGTCACGAAAAAAGACAAAAAGGGAAAAAAAAGAAAAAAAGTGCAGCTGAGGAGCGGCAGTGGGATCGGAGCACGTCATTGCCCTTTGAGAACTGATGCGGTTGCTTTCCTGTTCACTGAAGATTTTAATTAGAAATTTATTCTTCTTCACAGATACTTCATTTAATTGTGTTCTAATTACAGACCTTGACAACAAAAGCAAAAAGAAGAGCAAAGAGAGCCAGGCCCACAGATATGGTCAGCGCAGGGTCCCGGGGCAGCCTTTGCACCCACAGCAGGGCTCTGGAGCTCGCTGAGCCATGCCGGGTTGCAGCGGACGAGTGGGCTGTTGAACGCAGGTGATGCCCATGCCTATTTCTGAATTCCTAGAAAGAGAGAAACAGAGAGGAAGAAATGCTTTTAAGCTGCAGAGAAAGCCCTGTTATGATGTCAGTCAAGTACGGTAAAGGTTTCCTAGGAGGTGCTACTGTTTACTCTTTCAGCACAGGCACCTTTGAACACTCGCTGTGGGCCAGGTGGCCCCAAGGAAGTGAGACTCAGTCAGTTCCTTTCCTTGAACAGCCCGGCCAAGTTCATGACTTTCCCACTATACATGAATGATACGATAGAGACAGACAGTGTTCATGGAGAACCAAGGCGGAATCCACAAAGGACAGAACCTGTGTCGGGTGAAGTTCTGTCACAGATGTATCTAACTTTTAGGGATACAACCATATCTACTCAGCAACACAAAAATGACAGAGAAAAAAACAGGGAAGCCCTTTTCTTCCGCAAGCACATCCCCTAGGACAGAGATTCCCAACTGGTCTGCTGCAGGAGGGCTGCCCCATCCTCAGGGTGGGGGTGAGGGGGGCCAGAGGGGTCGAGTGCCTAGAGGGTCCCACCCCACGTGCCGTCCCCTCCATCTAGCCCGCATGCCACACAGATACTAGCATTTCCTCTGCTTGCCAAACACAGAAAAGACTGAGAACCACTGCTGGGAGAGAGTGTGAGAAGCTAGGGACCTGACTGTGCTGCCTTTCAGGTGGCCTCTGTCCTGTGGGCTTCTTAGCTGGTGTCAGGGAGGTGGAGGGAGGGCTACCTGGCCCCTCTCAGGGCAGTCCTAGTGTTTCAAAGCACGACTTGATTCCATTACATGAGATTTTCACCTTAGGCTCCTGCTTTGGAATTGGTGCCTTTCCACATAACGTGGGACTGCCCTGTTGAACCCTGAATAACATTTTGAGGGACTGGGGTTGGGGAGGGGAAGGGACGGAGGAGAAATACTGGGTGGAAGGAAGGAGGAAGGAGGGGCAACCCAGAAGCAGCACGGTGCAGCACGCCTGTGCAAGAACAGACAGTCCACAGAAGCAGGAGGTGTCTTCGCACAACCATCTTGCTTCGCTTCTCCTTCCCTGCAATCTGGCGCGCCTCTGGCTCCCATGTGGGGAGCTGCACCTCTGCGCCACGGCAGCGGCACTGGAACGTGCGGCACAGAAGGCCACGCCACAGGAACGTGGAGGACGGGTCAGGGGAGGGAGGACAATGGGGGTGGAGAATCCAGAGGTAAATTGTGGTGAGAGACGACGTGGGGGATGACGAGGACCTGTATTAGATGGCGGCAGAAGGGATAGAAAGGAGGGAACAACAAATTTGTGACGTAGAATCAACAGCATTTGAATTCACACGAGTTGGGTAATGGGAAGTGTGAAGAACAGGAATGGGGAAATGAAAATATCTTTTATAACCAATTTCCACTCCTAATATTTACATCTGATAGGTGTAGAAGAATTCTTGCTTTGACTGTAGGAGACTGACTGCTAAATTAATAAAGCTGTTAGCCACGAGGATATCTCGACCTTAATGACATCTAACCCTCATTTACTTCTGCACTCCTTAGGTGTCTGGGCCCATTCCCTGCTGGTCTCCCTGCCGTCTGGGTCCTTAACAAGGAGGCACAGAGCTGGGCAGAATGCAAGCACCTCCCCGACAGCAGGGGAGGCAACAGCAGGAGCTCTGCGGTGCGCCCGAACCTGACCCGGACCCCGGAGACAGCGGTCCCGATGAGACCAGCTTTTTGTGTGATATTTTGGCGCTGGGAATATGTTGATGAGCTTCCATTTTGATTGTTTAAAAACAGCCTCAAGGTCTCAAGGACAACACACACACACACACGCACGCACGCACGCACGCACACACGCATGCACGGACACACACACATGCACACACGCATGCACGCACACACACACGCACGCGTGCGCAGCAACCTTGGGAAAGAATGCAGAGTCCCTCTTCAACTGAAATGATAGAAACTATGTGAGTTCCCAAAAGCAGCACGGCTGCCTAACTCTTCTCTGAAATCCTGGAACTTCTCAGGGCCACAGGTGTACAAGCAGGTATTCAAGAAGCGTTTAAGAATGAATGTATGAGCGACTGACTGAATAAGTGAATATGAGGGTGTGTATTCCAGGGAGATGTGGAACCATCAAGAATGCGCCTATCTCCGGTGGTCACTGTGTCCTGTGATGTGTTCAGGGCACTATTCTATAGGAGTCATGAACTGTCACCTTTAGCAATTAAACCATCACTTCCTAAATTTAGATTTAAAAGACCTGAACTAAGAGGATGGTTAATTTCCCCTAGGCCTGGATTCTTTAACTTTTTCAAGTTCCAGATGGCTTTGAGAAGTCAATGGAGACTACAGATTCTTCCTCAGAAAAACGCAGAGGTTCCTGTGCACATATGCACACAGCCATGCCAACACTCTATACATTACTTCAGGAGGTTCAGACACTCTCACCCAAGAGTGGATCCAGATGCTGTGGGTCCTGAAGCCTTCTCTTTAAGAAAAAAGATATGAATACAGAATTAGGGACAGGGTCTTAGAAGGGGCCTCTCAAAGTAAGGGGCCCTGAAACATCAGCTCTGCAAGCTGCAGGGAAAATCCATTCTGGCCCCAGTTCAGAATGCTTGATCTTGTTTCTGCACACGCAATTCAAGAAGCTGCCACTCCATGATCAGTGGTGCTAGCCCAGAGGTCAGGCTGACCCAGGCAGACCTCGGTGAGTCTTCAGCATTAAACATTTGGTTGGGTTGATATCACATTCTACTTTACAAAGCTGCAGTGTGGGGAATGTGCCTGTGCTCTCGGCCTTAAAAAAAAAAAAAAATAAATAAGAAAAAGAGGTCCTGCCCGGTGGCACACTGCTACAGTGCGCCGCTTGGGAGTGCGGCGGCACTCCTGCCGAGGGTTCGGATCCCACATACAGACCGGTTCCCGCTCACTGGCTTTCTCTTCCTCCTTCCAACTCATTTGCCATAAAATTTTGCTCAAGATATAAAAGTTATCTATTAAACCACTAGATGGATTATCTGTGGTCACGTTCAACTTAGTCATTCTTCCTTGGGCATTATTTTTTTTTCTTCCCACCCCTCAAACATTTAACACATTTGGGCATAACTGACCCATAAAAAGTACTTTGGGGCTGGGCCTCCCTCCTGTTCCTAGTGGACAAATCTGCATCTCAGAATCACATGGAAAAGCAGGGGCATGCATATGCAGCCCCAAGAAGCCCACCTGACCTGCTGCTCTCTTGAAGATCAAGGTGGAAGTTTAGCAACAGAGCAGGAGAGGGAAAATGCAGCCTGTCTATATCGCACTGTGCTTCTTTTATTATTTTCACCTTTTACCAAATCAAGATCTTGATTAACGGAGTTTGATGATATTGTTTTAAACATAAGATTGACAAAAAAAATCTTCTCAGATGACACAGTAATCAGTAGCTAGCTAGTTTTGTTCATTTCAGTGGCCACTCACTGTGATACTAAAGGAAAACTAATTTGGAAATATGGGAAATACAAGGTCTTTCTCATGAAGTCCAAGACACTCAACCACATAAATGTGCCACCATAGCAGATTTCCACACAGAATCAGGGCTCATGAACAGAAAATAATATAGCATTTCCATAGTATAACAAAAAGTGCTTATGGGTGAAGTAATTATTAATACTAGGGGTCTTCAAAAAGTTCATGGAAGGATTTGTATTATCTTTGAATTCATTTTTTCCATGAACCTTTTGAAATATCCTTGTAGCCAAAAGAAAGATAAAAGTTCACACACACACACACACACACACACACACACACACACACACACACACACACACACAGCAATGCATATAACAGACTTTAGAGAAAAAATGGTCAGTAGTTTTGGAAAGTAAACAGAAGGCTCCCTAAACCTTTTAAACACTATCAAGGTTATCAGTTCCTGAAATTCAAGATACATCTGCATCTCTGAAAGTATAATACACCAAATTCGAGAAATTTTATTGCTTATTAAAACAAACTGAATGTCAACTCTGAGACAATTTTTAAGAACTCAGACTCCACTCAGAAAGGTCTTTTTCAAAACAGACAGAAATTTGAAACAAGGCAGGATATGACCTTTGTTCAACTGAAAAGATTCATGTATCCAGTTACTACAGACTTAAGGACACACTGAGAATTTCCATCATGTACTCTGTGTTACCTTTGATTAACATGGGCTTTCCCCCCTTGTAAATCTCACTACTACCTCACTACTTTCTTGCTAGCTCTTAAACATATTCAACTAATTTTCAAAAGTATAGCTTATCAAATCCTACCAAAACAATAAGTCTGTTAAAGCAGAACCAAGTACGTACACTGAAAAAAAAAAAAAAAAAAAAAAAAAAAAACTTCCATGTTCAGAAACTTTAGAAATCAGATTTCAATCCATTAAAGATATTTAAAGACAGTTGGGATGGTAACAATAGTCTTTCTGTAACTATTTCCTCCTTCTGTAACAGTTATAGGCGTATTGTTGGGGAAAGGAAAGAGATGCTTTTAACTTGAGCACATTTAATGCCATGAGGCACAGATGGGACTGGTTTTAAAAGCAGTGAGTGCTGGAGCTCTGGGCTTCAATGCCAGCTCCATCTGAGGCTTCTCAGGCAAATTATTTATCCTCTCCTTGACTCCATTTCTTTACCTGTAAAATGGAGATACTGTTAGTATTTATGCCTCATAAGGTTGCATTGAGGATTAAATTATATATATATGTATGTGTGTATATATGGATTAAGTGTCTTGAACATTTAAAATGCAATTAGGATTAATGTATTCTAGGTATTTTGTGGTTCTAATGGAAATATGCAAATGCTCTCAGTTATTCTCTCTGCAAAATTACAAAGTCACTATATTATTTGCTTCTCAGGTATGATGAATCGACCCACACTATTTTTGTTCCTTATGCATATCATCAGGAGGCACTCCTTATAATGAAAGAGCAGGGGTTTTGAATTCTGGCAGACTAGAAACTGAATCCAGGTTCAGCCAGCCATGTGATCTCAGGCAGGTGGTTTA